GTCTTAACCATTGGATTAAGCATTCCAATCCATGAATATGGTATGTCTTTCCATTTATCTAGATTGTCACAATTTCTGTCAACAATGCTTGACAGCTGTCGGCATTCAAATCTTATACTTTTTGCTAACATTTTAAGGAACTTTTTAAAAATGGGGCTTCAGATAGGTTCCTTTTGCCATATGGTGGACTATGCCTTTCATACCGTCATACAGTAAATACAGAAATAGGTTCAATCTCTGTTTCTTACTATGATCCTTGGCCTATGTTTGCACTTGTGTTTGACCAATGTTTTGACCAATGGCAGGGTGGGCTCCAGGGCCTGGGGGGCTTTAAGAGAACCAGGATGAGCAGGTGTCACTTGGGGGACAGAGAAAGGGACAGCAGAGCAGATGGAAAGACCAGGATGGCCGAGTCAGTCAGTGTGATTCTAGCACCACCAGGGCTGTCACCATGTTCAACAACTGCAATTACAGTTTCTGAGGAAACGTTGCTTATGTTTAACTAGTTTGTGAAAAATACACTGTGGTAGAGTATATCAGTTTTTATTTAGAAACTTGCTCCATGGTCCACTTTATAAAGCTTTTGTTGTTCTGTTTTGTCTTGTTTGTTTGGTTTTTGCTTTAAGTTCAGCAGGCTTCCACTTCCAGCAGGGCAATTATTTCTAGGATGGAGGGCAGGAGAGATACATGCTGAGGGTCTCCCCGTCCCTTTCCTAAGCAGAAGAAAATGCAGGCAGATAAGGCTGGGTCAGATGAGCTTCAGGCAGGGAGGAAGAACTCGCATTCCTAGTGGGAAGGGCCCCCCATTGCCTGTAGTCAGGGGAAGGCTGGGGAGGACCCCTGTGCATGGCCTCTTCCTCTCTGCTCTCACACTGGTGGCTGCCCTGGGTAAGCTGCATGCTTTCCCCAAAGCCCTGGGCTGAGATCGTCACCAAGGTGTGCAGGCAGCTGGCTGGCTCAGGTCAGCCCCGTGTGGAACTACTCGCTGGGTTTGGATAAGAAAGTAGGAGAGTAAGGCTCCAAACACTACCTTCCTATCCATCAACGGCCAAGTAAGATGTGGGAATGCTGCCCATCCACCCTCAGTTTCCTCAGCCTGCAACAGGGTAAGCGCTGCTCCGTGAAGACTGTCGGAGGGTCGGAGGGGACCTCCTGGGAAGAGCCTCCCAAGCATGACGTGCACCCTGTAAATGCTCCATGAAGGGATGGAGGGTTGGAGGGGACCTCCCAGGAACAGTCCCACAAGCATGGCGTGCACCCTGTAAACTCACTGCGTTCTTCACGTTTTTATTCCTACACTCACAATATGCTGTTTAGATTGGGTAGGCCAGCTGCCCTATAAGTGCAACAGTAAGACTTGCATTTACATTCTATTCTGAATTTGGGGAGATGGTTGTCCATTCATGAATAATGACTATAATTGCTGTTTTTTCTCTTAATGACAAAAATGGTGTCGTGAAGAGCTGGAAATTGGGAAACTAAGATGCTTTCTGCCTTTTGTGTTTGCGACCTCATTTTCACAAAAAGAAATTACCAGCCCCTAAGTATTTATTATATACATCGTGTACATCTAAAAAAAACCCAAAAACCTAGCTCAGTACTCATGACACGTTCTAGTGTTGCCACTGTTTACAGCACGCTGCCATTGTCATTATTGTGATAATATTTTAAAGTACATGTTTCCATGCATCCATCAGGAAATCCAGTCCTGTACAGTGGAAATGAGAATGTGGTATCAAAATGTGGCACAATCAAATTTAATTCATTTCAGTTAAATTTTATCTTTTATGCTGTTCTTTTATGGAGCCACATTCATAAGATAGCTTCTAGGCTAAACATTAGGCAGAAATAGGATACGTGAGTGGGGCAGTAATGGACTCACTTTTTAATATGAAGGGAGATTAGAATTGTATTAAATTACACATTAATGGAAAAACAAAGTAAAAGATAATAGGATGACAACTTTATGCTGCTGTAAAGTCTGGATTACAGCACATAGTTTTGCTATTTAGCAGTTGAATATTGAATTTCATTTGAAAACTTGCTTTTAATTATATTAAAATAATATCTAAATATTCCCCCAATGTATTAAAGTGCCCTCGTTATAATTTGACTATTCGAGAAAGGAAGACGCAGCCGGGCCATTACAGCAGGTGCTCCTGTGAGACAGCCCGGCCGTTACAGCAGGTGCTCCTGTGAGACGGTGTGGGCACCTGAAATATAACACAGTGAGGCTCACTTTGAAGTTAAGGGATCTGTTTATCCTTGAACTGGAGACTGTGAGAGGATGCAGGAGAAATCGCTTTGCTGGCCTCAGTGGGAGAAACAGCCCCACACCTTGCTGTCAGTCTTGGGATCCCTCAGGAAATCTTTATATTCCCTTCTGCTTTCACACTTGGATGTGAGAAGCTGGTCCCTGACTTCCCAAGGACCCATGAAATCGCATCCCTTCCTTATCCCATGTTTCCGTGGCCATGCTGACCCGGACGGCCGGCAGCCCCGGATCGTGAAACGGGACGTTTCAAGGCCATACCTAGGATTAGTCATTTGGTAAACTTTCTCAGCAGGGGATTTGTTTTTTGGTGTTTGTTTTTTTGTTTGTTTGTTTGTTTGTTTGTTTGCCTTGGTTACCTGGAGGGTTGGGGTTGGACGCAATGGGAAAACTCTCACTCCCCATCACTCCGCTTGCTTTCTCTGGCATCCACGTTGCTCAGGGAGTCAGAGTGGGCGGCTCTGTGAGTGCAGGGGCATGACGGACTCACCCCAGGACTGCAGGCAGGGGTGCGTCTCAGGCTGCGGAGGGTGGTGGGGAGAGAGGAGGAAGTGGAAGAGACGCTTATGGTGATAGGGGAGCTGGTGGCAGGCAGGAACTCGTTCCGGGATCCGAGGCACCGAGATGGCCCAGGGGAGGCAGCTGTTGGACAAACGTGTGGGGGATAGTTCCCTTCCTGAGGAGATGGCCACACTCAGCCCTTGAGGAGGCCACTTCTTGCTCCTGTCTGGAGGACAGGACACAGCAAGGCCGAGTGGTGCGGAGCCAGGTCTTGGAGTGAATGCAGGGGATGCCTTCCAGGCCTGGGAGCAGAGGCGGCAGAACCCAGGCAGCGACATCTACAAATGATGGCAGCCCGGTGTGCTTACGGCCCAGAAGACTCACAGGGACGTGTGGACCGTGAGGCAGAGGGAGGCTCAGCAGCTCCTCTGGTCATCACAGAGCTTGGACGTCTGGTCTGGGCCTGGCACTGCTCCAGGGTGGCCCGTGGCTGTCACAAGGCAGGCAGCTGAGTCCGCAGGGAGCTTGCTGTCCTAGCCGTGGCCTTGATTACAGGCCAAGAAGACAGGGCTCCCCTAAAAGTTGGTGGATGGGCTGGGGTGCATTTGAGGGGGACAGCCCCACAGCTATGTCTGGGTGGAGGCAGGGGAGAGGGGGACAGAGGAGGAAGCCATCGTGATGGTCCTGGTGACAAGGAGGAGGGTCTGGGAAGGGAGGGGCCTGGGATGGAGGAGTCAGGTGTGGGGTTGTGGGGGGCCTGCCAGGAGGAGGAAGATGTAGGTGCAGAGACCAGGGGGAGCAACAGGCCGTGGAGCTGGCAGATCCTCCTTCTCTGCAGGTCACCTCAGCGCCCAGCTGCCTTCCTAGGGAGAGAGGAGAGAGCAAGCGACCTGCCCCTTGGTGGCTCAGCGGCCCTCATTCAGGCTGTGCTGTGTTGTAGCCACGGCCTCACTCCTCCAGGCATTCAGGGAAAGCTCACTGCAGGCTGCAGAAGGGCACAAGGAGGAGTCGGGTGGGCGGGGATGCAGCCTGGCCTCTGGGAGGAGTTGGGTGGGAGGGCATGCAGCCTGGCCTCTGGGAGGAGTTTGGTGGGCGGGGATACAGCCTGGCCTCTGGGAGGAGTTTGGTGGGAGGGGATGCAGCCTGGCCTCTGGGAGGAGTCGGGTGGGAGGGCACGCACCCTGGCCTCTGGGAAAGGAGACATAGCTGCCCCCACACAGATGGGGCCTCGAGAAAGCCCCTCCCATCCTCACTGGCCTGTAAGAATGTGAACTGAACAAATGATTTCGCGATTAATATGTGTGTATGTGATATATGAGCTTACCAGACAATATCACCCATCAAATACCAGATGCTGTTTTTAAAACTTCTTAAGCTGTACCACACAACTGAAATCTAAGTGAAATACAACTATGCTTTTCCCCCAAATTGTTAATTTCCTTTAATACCACAAAATCCAGCTGTCAAGAGACCTGTTGAATCTACTAGCTGCTAAATCTTGGTCATTAACCATTTGGGAACATCAGTGTTCCCTCTCCACTCCTCACACTTTGTGATATAAAAACAACTGCGTGGCCAGGTGCAGTGGCTCACACCTGTAATCCCAGCACTTTGGGAGGCCAGTGGATCACCTGAGGTCAGGACTTTGAAACGAGCCTGACCAACATGGCGAAACCTCGTCTCTACTAAAATTACAAAATTAGCTGGGCGTGGTGACGCATGCCTGTAGTCCCAACTACTCAGGAGGCTGAGGCAGGAGAATGGCTTGAACCCGGTAGGCAGAGGTTTCAATGAGCTGAGATCGTGCGATTGCACTCCAGCCTGGGCGACGGGGCGAGACTCTGTCTCAAAAAACACACACAAAAAACAAAATTAACCGGGGCAGTGGCGGACGCCTGTCATCCCAGCTATTTGGGAGGCTGAGACGGGAGAACCGCTTGAACCCGGGAGGCGGAGGTTGTAGTGAGCCGAGATCGCGCCCTTATCCTCCAGCCTGGGCGACAGAGCAAGACTCTGTCTCAAAAATAATAATAATAATAATAATAAAGAAAATAAAGAAAAAAATAAACCAGAAACCACAAACCTGCCCTCTCGAGTGCCCAGGCCAGACACGGACACTGATTACTGAAAACACAGCCCACGGTGGGAGTCACACATTCCCCTTCCCCGCGCCTGGGGGTTTCCGCCGCGCTTCCGGGTGCTGAATGCCGTTTCTGTTTCCCCGCAGACCCGCAGTACTCATGGTCGCCCACGCAGCACTTCAATGAGGAGCGCTACTCGCCCGCGCCCAGGAGCATGAAGGGCCTCTCCGGAAGTCGGACCCAGCCGCCGCTGTGTCCCGGGCACACGTGCGGTCTGGCGCCCCCCGAGGACTGCGAGCACCTGCACCGCGGGCCCGACGCGCGGCCGCCCTACCTACTGAGCCCCGCGGACAGCTGCCCCGGGGGGCGCCACCGCTGCTCGCCGCGCAGCTCGGTGCACTCGGAGTGCGTGATGATGCCCGTGGTGCTGGGCGACCACGTGTCCAGCAGCACCTTCCCACGGATGCACTACAGCTCGCACTACGACACGCGCGACGACTGCGCCGTGGCCCACGCGGGCGCCAAGATCAACCGCATCCCGGCCAACCTGCTGGACCAGTTCGAGAAGCAGCTGCCGCTGCACCGGGACGGCTTCCACACGCTGCAGTACCAGAGGACGTCCGCGGCCGCCGAGCAGCGCAGCGAGAGCCCCGGGCGGATCCGCCACCTGGTACACTCCGTGCAGAAGCTCTTCACCAAGTCGCACTCGCTGGAGGGCTCCTCCAAGAGCAACGCCAACGGCACCAAGGCGGACGGCCGGGCGGACGACCACCACCACGCCCACCACGCCAAGCACAGCAAGAGGAGCAAGAGCAAGGAGCGCAAGCCCGAGGGCAAACCCCGGCCTGGCGTGAGCAGCTGGTGGAGCTCGGACGACAACCTGGACAGCGACAGCACCTACCGGACGCCCAGCGTGCTCAACCGGCACCACCTGGGCCCGGTGGCCCACTGCTACCCCGACGCGCTGCAGAGCCCGTTCGGGGACCTGTCCCTCAAGACCTCCAAAAGCAACAACGACGTCAAATGCTCAGCCTGCGAGGGTTTGGCGCTGACGCCCGATGCCAAGTACCTGAAGCGCAGCTCCTGGTCCACGCTGACGGTCAGCCAGGCCAAGGAGGCCTACCGCAAGAGCTCACTGAACCTGGACAAGCCGCTGCTGCACCAGGACACCAAGCCCGCCCTGAGGCCGTGCCACTACCTCCAGGTAAGCAGGCGCACGGCCCTGTGGAGGCCGACTCCGCACAGCAGGTGGTTTTGTCGTTATTCCATTTTTCATTGACAGATGACAACTGCATACACATTTAGGGTGTGCAACAGGATGTTCTGATATATGGATGTGTTCTGGGACGGCTCCACCGAGCTGTTAAAACACACATGACCTTAATACGTTTTTTCTTTTGTGGTGGGAACACTTAAAATCCACTCTGGGTGATTTCCAAGTATTCAATACACGGTTGTTAACTGATGCTACTGTGCGGGCCAACAGGTCTCTTGAGCTGACCCCTCCTCACTGAAATGTCCGTTGACCAACATCTCCCAGTTCCTCCCCATCCCCAGTCCCTCTGGTAACCACAGTTCCACTCTCTGCTTCTATGAGTTCAGCTGTTTCAGATGCCACCTGTGAGAGCAACGGTGTGACCTCTGTGTGCGCCGGGCTCATCCTGCTTTGCAGTTTCTTCCAGCTCCCCCATGTTGTGGAGAATGGCAGGTCTCCCTCTTTCAAAGGTTGAATAGTGTCCCCTGTGTATGTACCGCATCTTCTTTATCCATCATTTGCTGGTAGACTCCAGGGTTGACCGCACACTATGGCTTTGTGTGTGGGGCTGCAGGAATGGCAAGACGTTATTTACAGGCAGCTCTCATGCGTGACTCTGGCCTTCTCTGGGAGGGCCTCTGGAGATCCCAATTCCTCCTGGGAACCTACTCTAAACACAATGGGCCATTTCTTTAATGCCTCTAAGGCTGGAGGGTTTAACAACCACAGCAAACACAGACTAGCCCCTGTGGATATTTTCCACGTGAAAGCTGATGGACCGGCCTAATGGAAATGGGCCTGCGACATTTGTGAGTTCACTCCTTGCACCTGACCGCAGCCTCTCTAAGCCCCACCACCACAAAAAGCCTGATTATGGAAAAGGCCTCTGTGTCTCTGGGGTGTGGATTAAATGAATTTACCAAAGGCAAAAACAAATGAAAGAAGGTAGATCCCTAGAGCTGGCATATTGCGGAATTGTCTGTTTTATGTGATTTCCCTCTCTGTCTCTGGATTGTGCCATGCCGGAGTCTACCGGGGAAGCCCTCTGGGAAGCACACACCACTTCTGAGGATGCCGCTAAGTGACTCCCCTCAGTCAATAGTGCTGTTAAAAAAACATAACTTGTGTGTCCCAACTCACAAATCTCCTGCTTGCCTAGAGCAGCAGCTGTGGGCTGCGCGTTGGGTTGGAGATGTCTTCATGGAGTAACGGGACTTTGATGACTGAGCCAACAGGCAGTCAACTAACAGGGCAGGGAGAGCCAGCAGCCGTGATGCTTTCTGGGAGTCGTGGTGGCAAATCCTTCCAGCGGCACCATCACCGTCAGGTCCAGCGTCCACGTCTCAGTAGCTCTGTTTTGAAAGGAAATGCTAACCAAATTGCCTTTGCAGGCAGCTTTATTCAGAGACAAATTGGTAGTTGCATAAAATATTATTTTATAGCAATGGAAGAGGCATAGGTTTTGTTTGCTGTTGGCAAACCCTAATCATATCCAAATGCAAAAGTTGTGTCTGCGTGTTTAGAGAAACCTGCTATAAAGAATTGGGGTTCACTCTGATCTGTCTCCTCATTGTTACAGACACACAGCTCTCTTGTTTTTGTCTGTAACTGGGGTATATAGTAGTTCCCTGAGTGAACACTTCAGGACGCTGTCAGAGCCTCCAGGTTTTGCCCCAGGGTCACCTGCCTCCAATGCCTGCCACTCTTCCCCAGCCCTTCTAGCCGTGCCTTCTCCTCAGGTCCTGTGCCCTTTGGACCTGCCTTCTCCCACGAGTTTCTCCCACACACTTCCTCCCAGGCACACGCTTCTCTCCACCTCCAACAGCTATTCCATGGTGTAGGTGCAGGAAATACCAATCACTCGCAAAGGTGAAGTGAGAGAATGAACCTGCACACTGTCAGTCCCTTTCAAACACCATCCCTCCGAGAGTGACCTCATTCCCTCTGCACTCACGCCTTCCCACCCAGGCTTCACTGCGACAAATCCCACACGGCGGACAGATACAACTGTAAATATGCCTGTGTTGATCTCCAAAAGATCCACACAGAATGATGAGGATGCTTTCTTTTGAAGCATAACCACCTGCATTATGAGATATTGAAAACAATATCAACCTGGTGAGTGGTCACATTCCCCTGATGGCTCGATGTCTCTTGTTGGCTTTTATTTGGATCAGGATCCAGAGAAGGGGCCCACCTGGCAGCTGGTGATGAGCCTCTTCATCTCGTTCAGGCTGAGGTTTCTCCTGTCTGTCTGCTCTTCCTTCTCCTGGATTTTCTTTGTCTGGAACCAGCTGGTTGGTCTGATTGTGTCTGTCAGTCTGAGTTCCGTGCCATGGGGTCATTTCAGACACTCTGGTCCTGTTGTTCCGCAGCCAGCCACCCACTGCTGGACTTCCCTGCCCCGAGGCCTCTCACCGTACGCGTGTGGGTCACCAGGTACCTTTACGTTCATCAGTCAGGTTTCCTGGCAAGCCTCTAAGAGCCTTGAGGACAGAGGCCAGGTCAAACCTCCCTTTTTCTGGGGTCCCCCCACAACTCCGCCAAGCGCTGAGAGCCGGCAGGGCAGGGAGTGACCTGGGTTGGGCCAAGATGTTGTCCCAGCAAAACACATTTCCCAGACTTCAAAACGTGATGTCTTTTTATAGTAACATGTAAAGAATGACGGGCTGTGATTTGACCCCAGGAAAAGGTGTGATTCTGGGGACACAACATTGAGGTGAAATCCCCCTGGAATTCAGTGACGTGGCCACAAGACAGAGACAGGAAAGAGAGGAGAAAGCAGCCACCAGGCCTCACACCCACCAGGGCTTCCCTGCAAACAGCTCCATCTGCTTCTCCATGGGGGACGGCGGCCCTGCGTGCAGCACACCTGCTATGGCCACCGGCCTCCCTCTCACGTCCACTCAGGTGAACATCCTCGGAAACTGAACCCAGAGCGTTATTGTGCCGACATTGGGAAGCACTGCCTGGAGGATGGGAGGACATCTGCAGCCACGGCTTTCACGGTGCTCGTTCACAAGGGCACTTTCTTGCAATAGCAAGCTCCCCCCATCCCCACATCCACCTCCCGGTGAAACCACCTCTTTTGGGGATGCAGCTCGGTGACTTCTCTCCCCTCCTCACTGTCCCCCAGTGGTCACCACTGGACCCTCGTGGAATGATCTGTGAAGCTGAATATCAGGAGCTGTGTGCCACCTCCTCAGACTGTTTCTGTCTTAGGGCCCAGCTGCATTGATGTCTGGTGTTTTCAAAGATGCCTGTGCAGGACTGTCCCTTCCTGTCGATTGCATTAAACTTTCTGGTGGAATACTTTAGGTTTCTGGGTCCTCACAAACCCAGATTTTATTTCACAGCCAGGAAATAGTGAAACTAAAGGAATTTGTCTGTGGGTCCTAGTGTATGGATAAGATTTAAAAGAATTAGAAGAGAGAAGTAATGTTTATAAATTACATTCCTTTTTTTACTGGGAAGACTTGCAGCTGAATGACAGGATAACTTTTTATTTTCACCCTTGGTTTGTACAGAGTATGTGGTTCATATTAGAGGAAGATTTTTTTCTTGTTTTTAAGTAGGTCAAGACAGAGACTAAGTGGAATTGAAAGGCAATTCTGACCTCACGTTATTCTTTCACAAAGCTCTTATTTTCATCTTTTCTGCATCAGCAGACTAAGCATCTAAGGTCAAACTTTTAATGAGCATTGTAGGAATGCAGAAGGGATTCACTGAGGCTTAGCTCAGGATGCAAAAGACTCTCTATGCCACAGTCCACAGAAAGTCCCAGGGACATGCAGGGAGGGAGAGACGCCGCCTCCCCGGGAAGGCTCCCGGCGGTGTCAGATGGAGGGATAGAGGGGTCCCTGCTGCCTCCCACAGAAGACCCGGCGGCCCCTCCAGCCCTTGGCCTCTGTCCCCACCTCCTTCCCTGCTGTCCTCAGGCCTCCTCTCTGCGGCATCCCAGTCTCCCACCCCCTCCCGCGCTCCTGGTTTTCTCCTCTGCCAGTGTCCTCCCCACCAGGGCATCGCCCGACTGCAACCCTGGCCCTCCTGGGGAAGAGGTTCGGACCCTAGGTTTTATTTGACTTGAAGAGGTTCGGATCCCCTGTTTATTTGGCGTGTTCACAGGCAGCAGCCAGTTTGGCTTTGGGTTTTACCTGTCAGGCTTTTTACCTGTTCAGGTGTTGGAAGCAAATGGCAGAAAAGAACACAGAGGGGAGGGGGTGGAATGAAAACACAGAACCATGAGCGTTTCCCACCCGTGTGTAAAGTGTTTCAGAGCCTCTCCCTGCTGCCGCCCTCTGCGCAGGTCCCGGCACCGAGTACGGACCCTTCCTCGCAGCCGTTCCTCTGAAGGATGTGTCTGTTTTGTAGGCTGTGCAGATCCCTGCCTTCCAGGCTCAGCTACTACATTGGTGAAGTTTCCGGTCAGGCACAAAAACACGTCTTAAAAATCCATCTCCCCGGTCACCAGGTCATCCCTGTGGTGTAGTTTAGAAAAATCATCCATCTTTTACAAAACGGAGCCAGGCTCCCCTGTTTCTTGTCTCTACAATAAGCATTTAAAAGGCTTGTCACGGGGCCAGGCACAGTGGCTCACACCTGTAATCCCAGCACTTTGGGAGGCCAAGGCAGGGGGATCACCTGAGGTCAGGAGTTCAAGACCAACCTGGCCAACATGGCAAAACCCTGTCTCTACTAAAAATACAAAAACTAGCCAGGCATGGTGACAAGTGCCTATAGTCCCCACTACTCAGGAGGCCGAGGCCTGAGAATTGCTTGAACTTGGGAGGTGGAGGTTGCAGTGAGCCAAGATCGTGCCACTGCACTACAGCCTGGGTGACAGAGCAAGACTCCATCTCTAAATGAAATAAAATTAAATTAATATAAATAAATAAATAAATTGTTTGTCATGGAATGCACAATGCTGGCCATTTGCTTCTTTCTGCCCC